CCAAATATTGTACCCGGGCCTGCCGGCTACCCGGTCAAGTACCCGGTCAGTCACCTCCAATAGCTGCTTAGCGGCAGCCTGATAATAACAGTGGCCTACTTGATGCTATTCTTTTAGGGTCACAATCTTTGAAGAATACAAAGAATGATTCTTCTGTTGTTTTTTAAACTTGTTATTTTATTATTTACGTAAAATAGTAAGTGCATGTGATATTGCTTACGTAGATAAATAATAGTATGAGTCAGTTTTTAGTCTAGCTATTGTTATGGAGAATAACTAGCTACAGACATGGTCATATACGGATGTAGTGCTGCGAATAAGTCATGGGTTAGTTGCAAATTTGTAGCAACAACTCACACGTTCTTTTGCTATTAATACAAGAATAAACTGGTGATGTAGCCAAAGAGCTTCACACCAATGAAAAAAACTCTGTGTATGTTCTAGTTGTTCAGCTTTACACTTATTCTTTCATTCAGTGCCATTCATTGAGAGAGGATAAAAACATTTTGAGTGTGAAAAAGACAACAATTGGTATCAGAGCTAGGTTCTAGCAAATCTCACACTCAAAAATGACTGGAACATCAGGCTCCTCAAGCAGTCCGGGAGAAGGAGATAGTTGAGTTACACTCAAATACCCCATGTTGACAAGAAGTAATTATGTTGCCTGGGCTATCAAAATGGAGGTGTTTATGGTAGCTCAGGGAGTATGGGATGTTGTGGAAGCAGAAGGCACAGTTGACAACAGGAAAGACAAAATGGCTTTGGCCGCCATCTATCAGGGGATAGGGGAAGACACCCTGCTGCAACTTGGAGCCAAAAGAACAGCAAAAGAAGCCTGGAACATGTTGAAAAACATGCATCTAGGGGCGGATAAAGTGAAAGAAGTCAAGACACAAACTCTGTGGCGTGAGTTTGAAGGCTTGAGAATGAAGGACTCTGAAAATATAGACGAGTTTTCAGGGAAACTGACCATAATTGTCACCAAATTGAGGGGCTTGGGAAACACAGTTAAAGAAGAACAGGTGGTGAAGAAACTGCTCAGATCCACGTCCACTAAATTCTTACAAATTGCCTCTACCATTGAGGAATTTGGGGATCTTGAAAACAAGACAGTAGATCAGATCATTGGATCCTTAAAGGCCCATGAGGAGAGGCTGCAAGACGTTGGATCCAAAGATGAAACAATACTATTGACAAAAGCAGAATGGAGGGAACTGCAAGATGCTGAAGGAAGGGAGGATACTGCACTGCTCACAAGAGCAGAATGGAAGGCCAAAGAGGTAGAAAAATTCAACAAAAACCCCATTAGAAATCAAGGAAGTTCTAGGGGGAAGAGGACGTGGACGTGGACGAGGAAGAATGGATAATTCACATCTCGGTGAGGATGGAGTTTCACATTTCCAGAAAAAGAAGTTTGACAAAAGCAAAATAAAGTGTTATGCATGTGGAGAGATGGGACACTTTGCAAGTGAATGTCAAAATGAAAAGGTACATCTCACTGAGAAACAAGAGGAGGAAGAGGAAACATCCCTACTGATGATGAAGACATGTGAACTAATAAGTTCATACAAAGAAGTGGAAGATGTAGCCATGCTACACAAAGAAGACAGTAGAACAACTAAAACTTGGTACCTTGACACAGGTGCAAGCAATCATATGACTGGAGATATGAGTTGCTTCACAGAACTGGACAAATCCATCAAAGGGAAGGTAAAGTTTGGGGATGGTTCAGTAGTAGAAATTTGTGGTCAAGGGTCCATGCTACTGGAGTGCAAAAATCACGAACACTTGGCCTTGACAGGAGTCTACTATATTCCAAAACTCAAAAGTAACATTTTGAGTATTGGACAGTTGGATGAGATAGGCAATCAGACTGTCATAGAAGGAGGCTTTCTAAAGCTCTATGACAAAGGGAGGCTGATGTTCAAAGTAAAAAGGCAAACAAATAGATTGTATGTCATCAATCTTCATCATACAGAGAAGGTGTGTCTCATGATGAATATTGGAAGAGAGGAATGGTTATGGCATGCCAGGCTTGGCCATTTGAACTTCCATTCCATGCAAAGAATGTATGCACAAAACCTGGTGGAGGGAATGCCCAAAATAGGCCTTGTAAACCAGGTATGTGATGGGTGTGTCAAGGGCAAGCAACACAGAAGTCCTTTTCCAAAGAACTCAACATTTCGGGCAAGCTACAAACTGGAAGTGATTCATGTTGATATCTGTGGTCCCATTGTGCCAACAACCTATGGAGGAAACAAGTATTTCTTGCTGCTTGTTGATGACTATTCACGTTATATGTGGGTTTACATAATGAAAACTAAAGATGAAGCCTTGAAACTGTTCAAGCAATTCAAAGTGAATGTAGAAGTGACAACTGGGGAAAGAGTTAAAAGCTTAAGAAGTGACAGAGGAGGAGAGTTCACTTCTTCAGCCTTTAAGGAGTTTTGTGAGAATCAAGGTGTGAAAAGATTCTATACTGCACCATATTCTCCCCAACAAAATGGAGTGGTGGAAAGAAGGAATCAATCAATAGTTGAGATGGCAAGGTGCATGTTAAAAAGCAAGCATGTACCACCAACTTTCTGGGGGGAAGCTGTGAGGACTGCAGTATACATTGCAAACAGAGTTCATACGAGGAGTGTAGATGGAAAAACTCCATATCAAGCCTGGTTTAACAAAGTTCCAAAGATCCATCATTTGAGAGTATTTGGAAGTGTGGCTCATGCAAAGGATGTAAGACCTCACCTTTCAAAGCTAGCAGACAGGAGTGTTCAAACTATATTACTTGGGTATGAAGAAGGTTCAAAAGCCTATAGGTTATTTGAACCAAGACAGAAGAGGGTAATTGTAAGTCGAGATGTGATATTTGAGGAAGGAAAGAGCTGGAACTGGGAGACCACAGAAGATCCAGACACAGAAGGAGGTGAAAGTTTCATTGTGACATCCAATTCTGAAGCACAAGAAAGAGACAATACAAGGGCAGATTCAGAATCATGGGTAAATTCATCATCATCATCTCCAACCTCATCAAACTCAAACTTAAATTCAAGTTCAAGTTCAGAATCAGAAATTCCAAAGAAGTTTAGATCTCTACAAGAGATCTATGATGCTACGAGAGAGACTGAAGAAGAATCAGGTTTGTGCTTCTTAGCATTGGGAGAACCAATTACATACAAAGATGCCTCCAAACAGGTACAATGGAAGCAAGCTATGGAGCAAGAGATAAACTCTATTAGGGAAAATAACACCTGAGAGCTCACAACTCTGCCTAGTACTAACAAAGCTATAGGTCTCAAGTGGATTTACAAAGTAAAGAAGGATCCAAATGGAGAGGTGATCAAACACAAAGCCAGGCTCGTAGCAAAAGGCTATGTTCAGAAACATGGAGTAGACTATACTGAAGTCTTTGCACCTGTGGCTAGAATGGAGACAGCCAGGATGCTATTGGCCTATGCTGCACAAAGAAAGTGGGAGGTGCATCATATGGATATAAAAACAGCATTCCTGAACGGAGAATTGGATGAAGAGGTATACGTAACTCAACCAGAAGGATTCATTGATGAAAAAAACCCACACAAAGTACTAAAATTAAAAAAGGCTTTGTATGGGTTAAAGCAGGCACCTAGGGCCTGGAATTTAAAGCTAGACCAAATCTTAAAAGTCCTTGGCCTAAGAAAATGCCCTCATGAGCATGCTGTGTATAAGAAGGAAACACAAGGTAATACTTTGATTGTTGGAGTATATGTGGATGACCTTATAGTGACAGGTTCAAGCATGACTATCATTCAAGGTTTCAAAGAAGAGATGAAAACGACCTTTGACATGAGTGATCTGGGACTGTTGAGTTACTATCTAGGTGTTGAAGTAAAGCAGAAAGAAGATGAAATATCTCTGTGTCAGTCTGCATATGCAAAGAAAATACTGGACATATTTGGCATGGGAGACTGCAACCCTTGTCAATTACCAATGGAACCAAGAACCAAAATGAGCAAGCATGGAAATGGGGAAGAGTTTGTTGATGAAACCATGTACAGGAGCATGATTGGAAGCCTAAGATACCTTGTGCATACAAGGCCGGATCTTACCTACTCAGTAGGAGTTATGAGTAGATACATGGAGGCACCTACAACGCTACATCTAACAGCAGTTAAACAAATTATGAGGTATGTAAAAGGGACATTACATATGGGGTGCATTTACAGGAAAGGGGGTAGCAATGAAGAACTTTTGGGCTATTGTGATAGTGATCTAGCTGGAGACATAGATGACAGGAAGAGCACAAGTGGTGTTGTGTATTTTTTGGGAAACAAACCAATTACATGGACATCACAAAAACAAAAGGTTGTAGCGTTGTCCTGTGAAGCAGAGTACATTACAGCCACAACAGGAGCTTGTCAGGGCATATGGCTTGCCAATATGCTGAAAAACTGGAGGGGAGACTCAAGGATACAAGCTACCCTACGCATAGATAACAATCTGCTATTGCCTTAGCCAAGAACCCCGTTTATCACGATAGAAGCAAGCACATTGACACCAGATTTCATTTCATTCGTGAGTGTGTGAAAGAAGGAAATATCAATGTGGAATATGTCACAACAGAGGAGCAGTTAGCAGACCTAATGACCAAACCACTGCCAAAGCTGAAATTTGAAGAATTGCGTAGGAAAATTGGAGTGACCAAGGTAAAGTAAAGAGCACAAGTTTAAGGGGAAGAATGTTGTTTTTAAACTTGTTATTTTATTATTTACGTAAAATAGTAAGTGCATGTGATATTGCTTACGTAGATAAATAATAGTATGAGTCAGTTTTTAGTCTAGCTATTGTTATGGAGAATAACTAGCTACAGACGTGGTTATATACGGATGTAGTGCTGCGAATAAGTCATGGGTTAGTTGCAAATTTGTAGCAACAACTCACACGTTCTTTTGCTATTAATACAAGAATAAACTGGTGATGTAGCCAAAGAGCTTCACACCAGTGAAAAAAACTCTGTGTATGTTCTAGTTGTTCAGCTTTACACTTATTCTTTCATTCAGTGCCATTCATTGAGAGAGGATAAAAACATTTTGAGTGTGAAAAAGACAACAATCATCCTCTGGTGGTTTCTTGATTATGCCAGGTGACTTGGTGGATGATAGATAGTTCATGCCCAGACCTTGACGACCCAGAGATGGAAAGAAATGGTGACCCGATTTCTCCTCTCAGCCAATCTGCTATATCAGTTTTTAGCGGAAAAAGTACATCAGGAACCTCAGTCAGTAGAAAAGAAGTCAGGTGAGAATAGTCACCTAACATTCTAACAAGTTATGCTTGGGAGTTGGGATGCCATGTCCACTGTCCGATGATCAGACTCTGCTCAATTTCTTGGATTTCTATGAACGAAAACTTATAGTCTAGAAATTGTTTGGCAGGGAAAATATTTTGATATATTGATCACATGTACAACACACAGGTTCTCTCCCACATAAATTGACCACCAGACTATATTATAACCTCATAGCCAGTGGCGGACCCAGGAAGTCGGAGCCACGGGGTCCCTACCCTTACATATCTTTGATCTCTAATTAAATAAAAAAATATTAAAGAAGCATAACACTTCAAAGTTAACGTACACCATCAAAACATTAAGATATATTATAAAGCAAAAACTTACATATAAAAGTCATTCAACATTTTTATAGATGTACTCTCCTAGACTTCATTTGTTGGAAATATTCTATAATAGAATCATCACTAATAGTACCAAAAACATCTCTCTCAACATATGTAACTAAGCAATCATTCAACCATTGATCGCAGATCTTGTTGCGCAACTCATTCTTCACAAACTTCATACTTGAAAACGCCCGTTCAACACTTGCTGTAGCTACTGGGAGAAGTAGAGATAACTTAATAAGTGTATACACGTGCTGATATGTGAGATGCTTCTTCGTGGAAACCATTTCAATTGAAAGGTCTAATAAACCATTCAAATCAGAAAATCTATTATCAGAACGGACATCTAAAATATAATTCTCAAGCTGATTCTCGAGTATCTTTTGATCAACGTCAGAAAACTCTTTTGGATAAAATTCTGCCAATTTAAGCAAAGATGCCCTATCTCATTTGCTTAATAATTTCATGAACAGTTAGAAATGCACAAGCATAACACAAGTCCTTTTGAATTTTGGGTGAAGTCATCTGATTGTTTTGTGGAGCATTTTTTAGGACTCTATCTATCTCAGAATCATGTTGTCTCAAAAGATCTAAAGTCTCAAGAAAATGACCTTTATAACTAGACTCTATTGATTCGTCATGACCCCGAAATGGCAAACCCCCACAAAGAAGAAATCTAGTGCACTCAAGTGATGCCTTCAAGCGAATAAGGTAATCAGACTTTGCTTGTTCAGATTGTTTCACAAAACATGCTCCAATACTTTGTTTTTGGTTCATCAAATCTTCCAATCTTTTCACCGCATTGTAATGAGGACTGTTAGGTTTACCAACATGTAAATAGAATCTATCTTTTTTATTCCATGCTGAAAACCCAATTCCCACAAAATGATCACCCCCAACTTCCCACTCATTCTTAAACAAATAACATGGCAAACAAAATGCAGCATCTTTAGCAATACTGTATTCCAACCATTTATGCTCATCAAACCAACTTGAAACAAATCTACGTTTTTTGCCTCCAATTAACTTAAAAGGGAAATCATGGTCCCGAGGTTGAAACGGTCCTTTTTGAATGTAACTACGACGTACCTCGTCTTGAACATTAGGGTGAAAATCAGCAATTCTTTTTCTCAATCCAGGATCAGCTTCCAAAGATTCAAAATCCTCATGTTGTTCAGGTAGATTATAAGCCAAATTAGCTTCACTTTCAGCAATTACTTGATCCAATTCTTCATTTACTAATGGCGGATCATTTGAATTAACACCCGAACTACTCCCGGTACTTTGAGTTTCTTTAAATTTGGGTACAACGTCAAAATATCTTTTCATCCTAAATCGTATAAAATTGAAAATAACATTTATAAATACATGAATTTATTAATTTAATCTAACATTAAAAAAAGATATGCAAAGAAAAGCAATTAAAAGCAATTTAAACATAGAAATTGAAATTTGAAATCCCTAATTTTTGAGCATATAGAAAATACAACAAAAAGTTTGAGAAACTCCATTAATGGAGAAAAGAAAAGAAAGTACCTTCACTACCTTGGGCTTCGCCGCTTCGGCAGTTCGGACTTCGGCCGCAGCCCGCAGGGACGCAGGTCGGCACTCGGCAGGGAGAGGGAGGCCGCAGCCGCAGGGGACGCAGGGAGCTTCTGGCTTCGGAATCGGACAATCGGTTGGGGACTTGGGACGCAGGGAGCTTCCGGATTCGGTTGGGACTGAGCGAGGAGTTGCTGACTTGCGTGAAAGGAAAAGGAGTTGGTGGGTTGGGTCTTTTGTTTTGGGCTTAAATTGGGCTGTGACTTTCCTTAAAGACAAAAAAAAAGGCCCAAAACAAAATTATTCACAGAGGGGATTCGAACATGGTACCTCCGTAGCGTAGATATGTTGCTTCCAGGTGTGTTCCCGTTCGGCTATATCATCTTTATTGTTCTGTTTTTTGTTTAAATATACATTAAATAAGTAATTTTAAATAATATATATATATAATATATATAGGGTTTTTTCCCGAGGTCCACGGGGTCCCGGGACCCCTTGGGACCCTTAGTGGGTCCGCCACTGCTCATAGCAGCCTTTTCCTTCACATGTGTATGTATTTTGTTTTTGAAACAATTTCCTTTCATGTTTGAAACAACAGAGGTACATTTCAGGTCTTGGTTTGGCCATGTTTGGTTGAATTTGTTGAGATAATGGTTGCATGGGCTTGCCATGCTGAATTATCTAACAATGTACCTACAACACGTACGTAATTTTCTTAAAATTAGAAGGAATAATAGCTACGTAAAAGATTAGTGATGCGTCCTTATTTATTTTCCTGCCATTGTAGTAGCTTTTGGATGTCTTTTTGTTGTTGAGTACTCCCTCCGTCCCCTTTTAAATGTCCCATTTTACCATATTCGGATGTCCCTATTTAATTGTCTCATACCTTATTTGGTAAAGTTTGTGTGGTTCAAAATCATTCTTACTTTATTCTTACTTTATCTATTAATATCAACCACACAAACATACTTTTCTTAAAACTCGTGCCACCCTCTTCCGGGACATTTAAAAGGGAACGGAGGGAGTACATGTGTAGTGTTAGACCGGTACCGGGCTGACCGGCCTGTGAACCGGACTGACTCGCTACTGTGCGGGCCTGGCCCGGCAGTCGGGTAGCGGGCCTAGGACTGGCCTGGGGAGTTGGGGCGGGGAGGTTCTGGGCTGCCCTTCCTTTGGAACTGGCCCGATCTGGTTCAGGCCTTTTTTTTCATTTTTTTTTTGTTTTCCCTAGATGGGTTGGGTGTTTGGGGGGGGGGGGGGGTGGGGTGAGGGGGTTAATTAGAAAAACAAAAAAAAAAAGACCGGTCCGAGACCGGCCTGCCCGGAACCAGTCCATGGCTACATATGTGTTAAAGCATCCCGTTTGGCAGGCCTTAAACCGTTCCATGGGCTATCATAAGAAATCTCATATGAACTATTTTGTGGACGTCATTATGAGTTGAGATTATTTTTGTAACATTTTAAATTAGAATTATTATTATTGTAAAATCCATGAAAGCAAGGACTATTCGTATGAATTTTCCCAAAAGAACAACCTATGTATTTGATGAGTATTTATTTATTTTTAACTGGTGCCGTTAGCACAATGAAATTAAATGATAATGAGCCAAAAATGAAAGCGGTTAAATGGGAATTAGGAATGAAGAATGGCATAAAGAAAAAAATGTGATAAAAAATGTGTTTTTTGTGGGGGTGAGGGTTCAGTTGTTATACCGTATGACCGGTATACGATGAGCACCGTATACCCGGCATACGGTTTTAGGCATTTTGGAAGCACGTATACATCAAACATGTATTAACATATTATTTATTTATTTCTCTTCTTGTTAAAAACTATAATAATTTTTTCATTTGTGATTTGGTTTTTATAAGATTTATATCAAAATTTTTTATTTTTCATGATCTTTCAAATGAGACCAATATTGCCTATGTAATTTTAACATATTATCGAACTATTATATTAACCTATGTAAAATATGTAATTTTACGTGTAGAAATATGTAAGTCACGTCCAGTCAAGCAAAATGCAACTCGTGTGTATAAATATGTAACTCTACGTGCAAAACTATGTAACTTTACGTGTAAAAATATGTAACTCGCGTTCAGACAGGTCAAATACAACTTGTGTGTATAAATATGTAACTCATGTGTATAAATATGTAACTTTACGTGTAAAAATATGTAATTTTACGTGTAAAAATATGTAACTCGCGTTCAGGCAAGCCAAATACAACTCGTGTGTATAAATATGTAACTTTACGTGTAAAAATATGTAACTTTATGTATAAAAATATGTAACTCACGTGTATAAATACATAATACAATAAATTTTTTATATACACAATTTTAAAATAGTTCGATTTTCCTTATAATTCAATACTCATTAATATAATAGTTCGATAATTTCTTAAAATTACATAAACAATATTTGTCTCATTTGAAAGATCATGAAAAATAAAAAATGTTGATATAAATTTTATAAAAATCAGATCAAAAATAATAAAAAAATTATTAGCATTTTTTAATAACAAAAGAAAAAAAAAAATAAAAGTCCGTATGCTGGTGTACGGTGCTCACCATATACCCGGTCATACGGTATAATTTTGGGTGAGTGTTAGGTAAAGATCTTGCTGTTTGGGGATGTATGGGTAAACATTTCAGAATTTGTCAGATTTTTCTATGTTTGAGGGCGTGGAAAGTTTCAGAGGAAGGAAAGAATGAAGCGAACATGCCCTTCCAAAAAAAAGTCCACTCATCAATCAAATACTCCCTCCCTTCCATTCGAAAACAAGTTCCACATTTCCTTTTCGCGTAGATTCAAAATTAAGTTTCACTTTCAAACATTTCCTTATTTGACAAATTATCTACATCAAAACAGTATCAAACAATGTTCAAACAATGTTCAAACAATGTCAAATAGTGTTCAAACAGTATCAAACAGTGCACTCATAGTAAAGTCAAATTTATATTCTTAATATGTGTGAAGTCAAATGTAGAACTTATTTATGAATAGGAAGAAGTATTTACCTACGGTTATTCCTCACATTTTTTGATATCAATGTTTCTCAAAGTTGCGGTCATCTGAGATTAGAGAGTTGAAATGTTTTAGTTGGATTCTTTTAGTCATTAGATCAATTCAGATTAGGTTTAATCAGATATAAGTTACCTATCATAATGCATAAATGGCAAGGAAATTGTATTGGAGAGGATTTTTTCTTTAGCTATATAGGATTTTTATCTTTATTTCGTGAGAGCCGTTTTTATTAAATTCTTAATCTTTAGAATACGTATCCGGTGACATTGAATTACTTCTCTTTCGGTCCAAAAGACCATAACTTACCATTACTTTTAAAATAAAATTGATTAGATTTAGAAAACTTAATCACATTATTTACCCGGAAAAGAGATTTCAATAATTTGTTTGAACTTTTTAGAATATAAGTTTTTCAACAATTCTTAAAAGTTAATTAGAATTTTTAAATAACTGTTAAACGCATTTTGCAAGATTTGTTTGAGTCGCAAATTATACTGTGAGATCATTACACCGTGGACACGGTGTACTAATCCCAATACGGTATCTTTCACAATTGAAAACATAGCATAGTTTAATATGAATTTCAATTTCATCCTATTATTTAGCCGGCAACAACGATGATGGAAGAAGTCTGCAAATCTTTATAGTGATGGTTTGAAAGACATATGGGCCTTGTTTGGCAATCGGCCGTTAGATGTTAGCTGTTAGCTGGTCATGACAGCTGATTGAAAATAGCTGATTGTGTCAGCTGTTTTAGTTGGCTGATTATGTTAGCTGGTTGTCAACAAATGTTTGATAAATTATATTAGCCGTTTAAGAATAACTATTTGCGTGTAAACAGACATATACGGACAGTAGTATTTAATTTTATTTAATTTTATATAACCACATATTTTAGAATTTTAAAAAATGACTACTAAAACTACGTGAAAAATAAAATAAATAAAGAGAAACATTTTAATAAAGATAATCAGACAACATATTAGTGGACATTATATATATATACGTACATGACTATACTCGATCATGATTCATGAATTCTTATTTTTTGAAAAATAAAAGATGTAGATGGGTTTCAAGTTTCGAGCAAAAGATAAAAGAGTAAAATTAATAAATATGCGTAATTGATGAATTCCCAAGTATAGAACAACATGAATTCCCAAATAGAGAGCAACTGCTTAAGAAATACTGAGTACAACGTTCTCTAATTGTTGTCAGACTTTTTGAGTTAATGAGATCACATAAGAATTAAGATACGCTTGCGAGATCAAAAGGCAGGAAAGACATAATGACAAACCGCCCGATAAGCTAAATCAATCAACTATTTACCAAACACGTACTAATTTCAGCTGTTTATCCAGTTAAACTCATTAATTAATGGTGGTCAAAGAAGCTAAAAAATGGCTGATCAACCATTATCCAAACAAGGCCATGGGCAAGTGGATACACCAATACGGCGCACTCGTTGTGGAGCTTCTGTCAAAAGGAGACGTCGCTGGATCCAAAGATGGGGTCGATCATCAATGGCGCCATCTGATGCGATGGCTATATGTACGCATTTCGAGGAAAGACATAGAGATGGTGTGGAGGAGGTTGAGTGTGATATCCAATGGAGAAGCGGTTAGTGGGTTTCATATCGCCGATTGAACGATATTGGAGGATTGACAACATTCAATATCAATATGGACGTTAGAAATAATCTCGTCCATAAAGGTTATTTACATTTCATTAGGTTAAAGTTACATTTCTCATGAAGGTTGCTTACATTTTAACTTGTTACCAAGTTACATTTCAATGAATGCAATTCACATTTCAAGTTATCTCAATGAGTCACATTTCAGTAAACGTGATTTGAATTTCAAGTAATCTAAAATTCTACTTTGATACACGCGATTTACATCTCATGTATGAAAAGTGAGAAAATAATCATGGCAAGGAGTGAACGAGTTACACTCCAGTGTACGAGTTACATTCGTCACTAACTGATATTACATTTGAAGCAACATAAGTTACGTTTCAATATAAAGAATTTACATCACGAAAAATATTGAGGCAAAAAATGTTACTGATGATTAAATATGTTACTAATGACAAATTAATAAAAGCATTTGGAATGACTATATATTAGGGAGTCATATAAACACATCTATATGACTATCATCATAACTACACATTTTTGCAATGAAAGACGACCC